AGGGGGGGGAAAGCACATGTCTTTCTCACTGGTAAATATACTTGGTTAGATTAGCCTAATGAGGAACATGGCTGCTCATTTTAACCACACATCCATTGAGTTAAAAATCCTCTTAACCGTTCTCCAAATTAAACTAATATATAAACTACTTGGCGGTAAGAAAACTTATTTCTGCAGCAGTTGAGCCATCTACATGAATTCTGTCTTTTCCATGATCAACCCAATCCAAAACAAATTAAGGAACAAAGTATAAAAGCTATTTCTTAATACATAGGAAGAATGTCTGTTGGAACTATAATCAAAAGATTTACCGGGCTTCGTAGCTATGAGATTCCCTTCCTCTCTTATTCATTTCCCTGATTGACTTTTGTATCATTTTTCCAATCTAAAGACATTCCCAAAGCTATTATGGGGCAGTCATACAGAAGATGAGGAAATAGATGTGTTTTAGACCAGTATCGGGCCGCGGCATGCCAGCAACCGGTCCGCACAAACAAGCAAAGCCCCATCTGCGGGATGCAGGCAGCACACAAAACCACGCACCTACGGTCTGAGGAAAAATCTCTCTCCACGGAACCGGTCCCCGGTGCCCAAAAGGTTGGGGGCCTCTGTTTTAGACAAGTGATGGGAACCAGGAAAATTTCAGAGAAAAATATTTTTTAAAAACCTCTCCCTCAGCTGATTCTCCAAACCTTTATAAAACACCCAAACATTTTACACACACACACACACACACACACACACACACACACACACACACACAGAGACTGTATATACAAAAAAAGGTTCCTGAACTTTTACTGAAGTTTTATATCCTTACTATAATTGGAGCAAAAATAAGTAAATAATTTGTATGCTCCCTCCCATGTTTGTTTCAAAAATAAGACATTTTCATATGCAACTGAAACATATAAATAAGAAAACATCAGTCTTTTAAACAGGAGAAAATTGCATGATATATTTCTTATCTATTTTTTGGGATGTAACCAAAAATAGAGCTAAGCTGGAATAAATATCACAGCTCATAAAGAACTGGCATGTAGTCAATATGTTTTTAGAGCTTAATCTGCATAATGCAGCACTATACAGATAACAAGAAACATCTCACTGAATAATGTATCAATTATTTTAAAGGCTTTCAGATGACTGTAGTTGGTAAAATACCATACATGTTTCTGACAAAGTTAAGTAATAAAAGATTAATCAAAGTTTACTTCAATCAACAGTTCATCACAAACTACACTACAAAGAGAATAAATGAATACATTAATAGTACCAGACTGTTCAGTGTTTAATGCACAGGAAAAATATTAATGTATCTATATAGATTTTGTGCCAAAGATGCAGAGGACTGTGCATGCTTAATATATATACTGTAACTGTAATTTGATATAAATCATTACACTTATATACTGCATGGCATAACACAAAATCTTATAACACAAATTCAAAGTTATATCCTGTGAACAATTTACAATAGTCCCATACCTGGCATAACTAATCTCCTTGACTACTCCAATGAAACCTGTATTATTCTGCAACTTAGGACCTATCACAACCTCCCACCAGCACTAATTAAGGAGTGGCATTGGGCAGCCTCCCTGGTCACATGATACAAATACGCAGTGCTCACAACAAGGGACTTTCTACTATGGAGAAATATAGGGGGGGAAATTCATATAAGCATGAAGCCTTTTACATTGTCTGGACTCACAATATAGGTTAACTTTTTAGCATTCCTGCTAAGAAATAAACCCATTTCACTATTAAATACTCAACATAGCACACTTCAACAATTGAGGGCACCATGATAAAGCACAAGTTGAGCTGCAAGTCTAACTGCTTCAATTGTGGAATCTTTTTGCCACATGTGAATATTATGTCTTATCTGAATCCCCTAGTTGAGAGTCAGAGGCCACAGTTCAGCCTTGTCGGCCCTTAGAGGTAGTCCAGACAAGAAGGATAAACCATGAAGGATAAACTAGCACTACCTTTACTGTAAATTTACAGTAACAGAATCTTACAAGTCTGAAAGCCCCTCCTTTATTTTTACTTTCCAAAAAACTAGGGAAGGTGCTTCATGGGCTCATTTGCTTCTATGAGCTTTTGCACGATGGTGTCTAGGCTGCACTTCTTCACCCTGTCTCCTAAAGTCTTTCCCACATATCATTCTTCAGGACCAATGAAAATGACAGCAAAGTCAACAAAACTGATGTCAAGGATGAAACTTTGGCAGCTACGTGCCTCTGCGTTTCAACTTGCCTTTAGATTAAGGGGGGGAGGTGTTACTTTCAAGTGGTTTAGATGGAAAAACGAAATTTCTAAGATTCAGCTGAAGACTGTGAGAGCCTGAAGCCTTTTCAAGGACACCAGAACAGATGAGGATTTGAAGCAGAAGGTTCCCATAACAAAGTGAAGTTGTTTATATGGACTATGTAAGACGTTGGGGGTTTGGCTAGGAAAATTATTGTTTAAGTCTATGAATTAGAGTTGGAACCTCAGAGTTAGTTTTGCTTCGACATTACATTGTATTCAATAAGTAAGATTTTCAGAGACAGAATGAATCTGGAGTTTTATTTGGATTCTCGAGCTGGATGTTGACAACTGAAAGGGCTGAATTTTGGAGATTTTCCCCCTCCAATTTTGGTGATGCAAGGAAGAGCTGTGAGTGTGTGGATAGCCTAATCCTGATTTTCCCATAAACTTCAAGTAGCAATGTACTATACTGTGTTAGCAATCTGGGGATGAATATTGGGACATCCTGGGAGAACAACTGAGGTGCTGAGATTTTAGTATCTGGGTTTTTATGGTTTTGTATGAGCAGTCACGCACACAGTATATAATAATTTTAGATGGGTAGCATACAACTCTTAAATAAACCACATATATACACATGCAAAGGAGATAATGTTCCCCAGATACACACAAACTCTATTATTGAAGGCATATGGCCAACATTCATAAGCATCTTTGAAGAATAGTATTCCTGTTATAGAATACTATTTTCTCAGAAGAAAAAGTACATAGTACTATAAACTCTTTGAGGAAGATGGGTGGTTTAGAAATGTGAAATACAAACAGGCAAAACACTGTGGGTTTTCCTTTTCCTGATTTTCCTGTCCACAGTGCTAGAGAAGAGAAATCTGGGGATGAGACCTCGTTGAACGACAACAACAACAAAAAAACCCATTCCTTGTTTCTGACATTGATTTAAAAATGTCTACTGTACATGGTGCTTATTTATTTATTTTCAATATATTTTATTGTCTTTTTATAAGGGCTTCTCCTGATTCAGAATGGTGACACTACGGTCTCCATCTGGTATCTTTAGCAATTTCATAAGAAGAATCAGTGGAGAAAAAACCCTGCAGTACTTTCTGTTACAACTGTCAAAGGATGTTTGAAAAATATTCATCCAATGCTATCTGCTACGATTGGCACTGCAGACAGAAGCAGAATTATCAAAATGCCATGCCCTTTATCCCATCTCACAGATGTGGTACAGGAAGGCATCCTGATCGAAGGGACAGGTAGTCCTTAAGACCAGGGCTTTTCAACCTTTTCACCCATTGTACCACTTTTAGGATATGGCAATATCCGAGTACCACCAATCGCCTAGCAAGGGGTCAAAAACTTGATGCCCCCCCCCAAAAAAGGAAAAAAGTGATGAACTACAGGTAGTCCTTGACTTACAACAGTTTGCTTAGTGACTGTTCGAAGTTACAATGGCACTGAAAAAGGGGCCCCCAAGCCACAGCCGAGCAAGACACCTGCCTTCCCGCCCGGCCGCGCTCTTCCTCCTGTCTGAGGTTTTCATTGTTGTGAGCATTTCTGTTGAAGATTGGCAGTGGGGGTGGGGTGGGGAGTGTTTGGTTTTTATTCCCCCCGTCTGCTGGGTGGTTGCAGCAGGTTTTGGTCACTTCACATGACCCTGGGACACTGTGACCGTCATAAATATGAATCAGTTGCCAAGCATCTGAATGTAAATCACAAGACCCTGGAGATGCTGCAACAGTCCAGCTGATCAGCGCTTCTTCTGGGCTCAGCAGAAGCACCAGGATCAGCGCCGAGCTCCAGCTGGAGCCTGGCGCTGATCCTAGCGCTTCCGCTAAGCCCTGACAGCCCTGAAGAAGTGCCGATCAGCTGGAAAGTGGCACTGATCCTGGCGCTTCTGCTGAGCCCTGACAGCCCTGCAGCTCCAGCCATCTCTCGCTCAGGCTTATGCGGTGCTGCCACCGGTTCAGCTCATTCCCCTCCCCCGCTACCACTTTTCTAGCATGGTTGCGTACCACCTGCCAGGTGCCAATGTACCACAGGTGGTACCCGTACTACTGGTTGAAAAGCCCTGCTTAAGACCACAACTGATGCCCAAATTTCGGTTGCTAAATGAGACATTTGTTAAGTCAATTTTGCCACATTTTACGACCTTTCTTGCCACAGTTAAGTGAATCAGTACAGTCATTAAGTCAGTACACAGTTGCTAACTAAACCTGGCTTCCCCATTGACTTTGCTTGAAAGGTTGCAAAATGAGGTCACATAACCCTGGGACACTGCAACCCATCATAAATATGAGCAGTTGCCAAGCCTCTGAATTTTGATCATGTGACCATGGGGATGCTGCAAACATTGTGTGAAAAATAGTCTTGAGTGACTTTTTTCAATGATGTTATAACTTTGAACGGTCACTAAATGAATTGTTGTAAGTCGAGGACTACCTGTATTAACATGACATGGAATATTGAATAATAATGAGTAATATTGCCTCTCTAAAGAAAACTCATCAAACAAGCTCATCAAGCTAGATGACCAGGCTGGATCTAGAAAAACAGCCTCTTCCGGGAATGTCTGGAACTGGTTATTGTTGTTGTTGTTGTTATTATCTTGAGTATTATCCTTTTTTGATATATTACATAAATGTTCCATTCCATCCCAGACCACCTTGGTAAAACATTACGACATCCAATGTACTGCAAAGTTGAATGAATCTAAATATTCTGACCTTCAGGAGATGCTGGTTTATCCATTTTGTGAATGTTTTCTTTTGTACTTTGTCCCGTTCATCTGAAAAAAGGAAAAAAGGAAAGAAAAACAAAAAGTCAGTCTTTCTAAAATTAGAAGCTGGAAGTAACAATAAGAACAATGGAAAATAAATTGCTTTCTTTGCTTCAAATAAACTGATTTAAGGAGATTTGTAACTGCATATTTCCAATCAGACTTAAGGGAACTTCCCTCAAGTAACTGTATGTATGTATTATTATATATTGTATGTAATTAATAACATTCTGCAATCAATTAGACACAACAATGAAATTTTGAACTAGCCACAGTTCAGACATCAAATAAATTTAACTGGGAACACTTTCATCCCTACCCACATCATCAAACTTTAGGGCAGTGGTTCTCAACCTTTTTAATGCCGTGACCCCCAACCGGTCATAGGTCGAGGACTAAACCGGTTGTAAGTCGAGGACTAAACTGGTCGTAAGTCGAGGACTACCCAACTGGTCGTAAGTCGAGGACTTTCCCTGCCCGGGAGCGCCGCGCATGCGTGGTTCCGCCCCCTGTGCCGGCCAAGGCGTAGCTGGCAAGCGGCAGAGACGGAGCAGGCCGACCACCAGTTGGCCCAGCTCAAGGGAGGTAAGGCACCCGCCGGAAAAGGGAGAAAAAATGGCGGACAGCCTTGCTTGGCGACCCCCGTGAAATGGTCAATCGACCCCAAATGGGGTCGCGACCCATAGGTTGAGAACCGCTGATTTAGGGTATCAGCAGAGTATACTTTGCAGCTCTTTAAATTCACTTTCATTTGAAATACCATTATCAGGCAATGAAACTAATTCACCATCTTCTCAAGCTTTGGGACTAACCCAAAATACGTGTGTTTGTTGTCATCATTTGAAGCTCCACTGACACTCTTATACCCAAATGAAATCTCACTTTATGTGAGTATGTATCACTCAATGGTCTTGAAGACATCCTGCTGCCAAAATTTAAAAACTCTTCCTTGCACTGTGTCTAAGAATGCATACTGTCTTAAATGCGTATTCTTCTCTTTTGTCTTGCAGAACCTCTCCCCTCCAAAATTACATGCAGAGAAATGTCAATAGTATCTTTTGAAACGAGAAATACAGTTTCATTGAAAAAAGGGAATTGATCACAACTGGGATTAAATCTAAAGAAAAAAAAAATATTCATCCAATCTTTCCATTTTCATACTTCTTGAAAAGTCTTAAGTCAACCAAAGGATTTTGGGAGTCAAGGATTGCTGCAGACAGAAACCTGGGCAGGATAATTTCATGCCATTAATTTCCTCAACTAAGCCTGAGAACTAACTTTGCATTTTTTCCTATTTTCAGGAAAAGCACTTCAAAAAAGTATTGACAAGCAAAAAGGCCAAAACTCATAACACAAAGTATCCTTTCTTTAGAAAAATACTACAGCTTGAAGCGTGGATTACCATTTTGCAAATTTTTTTACAATAAACGTATAAACTGAGCAGATAAACATAAAATGCTGATATGGCCTGGCATCTGCAAAACAATAGAGTAACAGCAAATATTATAAGATTCAAATAGTATATTACAAATTTCTACATCCTAGCTGCATATACGGTATGAAGATTTGATTCTGATAGAATCTCTAATATAATTTTCATATGTCTACAGCTTGAAAATATCCAAATATATAGCAAAAATATAAACTGACTTTAATAAAAGAAAATTTAAAATACAGCTGAGGCAGAAATATGAAATAAAGTCAAATAAAGTAAAATACGTCATTTTAATAAAAGCTTACAATATGTCCTCGCCTAAAGACAAACATGTTGGAAAAAATATTAAACATAGCACAGGCATTTACTAATCCATACAACACATCAATTGTATTCCTTTTGTCTAAGCAGCCATCACATCATTCTTGGGGAAAGAGGAATTTTTTTTCAAAATTTAGAAACACAATTTGAACTCTTTAATACTGATTAAAAGTATATTTGCATGGGTATATGAATACCTGCGTAGTTGATAAATGACTCCTCCAGATAAGAAAAAAGTAATCCTTATTTTTAAACATAATTACAAATATTGCTACAAGCTACATATTTATTTTGTGTTTCACAACAGGAATACAGGTAGTTCTCTCTTAATGACTACAGTTGGACACAGAATTTTGGTCATTAAGTCGCTGCAGTCCTTAAGAGTGTCTTCACGTGACCTGACTTGATTTTATGACTGTTTTCACTATTATAAAAGTGAATAACAGCCATTAAGTGCAATAAATGATTATTAAGGGAACCATGACATTCATAAGTGAATCTATTTTCGTGAATGGGCATTTTTTGCCGGAATCAAGGAAAAAAAATTATGTAAACTGGCAAAAAAGTCACAAATCATGGTCACATGACTGTGGAACACTGCAACCTGTCATAAATGTGAGCCAGTTGCTAACTCAAATACAATCACGTGACACGGGGGTGAGGAACATCATAACTTTGACTGGTTGTTTAACAATCAGTTGTTAAGCCAGGAGTACCTGTACTGACAGGATTATCTTTAGCATTCATTGCAAGAATATTCCCTAACTTTAAAATCTTTTTAATAAAATCCTATTAAATAAAAAGCACCACATTAGATAGATTTCCCAATAGGGTTATAACATTTCCCAGTTATGATTAAGTTATAATTTATGATGTTTATAGGATTTGATTTATAATGTAACTTACCTAGAATATGATATATGATACAAGTATTTGCATCAGCAAAATATACAAACATTAATCAATTAATAGGTGTTAACTATGAAGAATTTCCAATTTATCAAATGTATACAGGTGCCAATCTCACTGGAAATAACTGTGAGCCATATACAACAATCAAAACCACAATATAATCTTATAAAAATATACACAATCATCATTTAAAAAGATTAAATCATTAAAAAAATTAGATGATACAAACCATAAACTCAGAGATAACAGCAACCATATTTCAACTATAATAGGGGAGGCAACTAAAAATGTTGCCAGTTTCCTGGGACCCTGAAGTCTAAGGACTTAACCAAATCTTGAGGAACTTCCAGAACATTAAAAATTGTGGAGCTAATCTAAATTAGGTGTGCGGAAATATTCCATAAGGTGAGTGCCACAGCAGAGAAGGCCCAACATGTAGGTCTTTCACATAGCATGCCCCCTCTGCTGGATCTAATGGTATGGGCTGATGAAATTGGGGAATAGCAGTCCCCCAGATAACCTGGTCTCAGGCCATGAAGGGTTCTAAAGGTAAAAACCAGCACCTTGAATTGGACGTGGAAACATACCAGCAACCAATGCAGTTTGTGCAGCCTAGGCGTTAACAGGTGCTGTCTTGGGGGCAAACAGAACTGTCCGTGCTGCAGCATTCTGCACTATATCCAGAAGATTTAGAAGATATTCACAGCATCCCCTCCTTGAGTGAAAACTTTTGGACTAGGCTTTATATTAAGTGTTTCTCAACTGTAACAACTTCAAGCTATGCGGACTTCAATTCCCAGAATACCTCAGCCAGCATGCTAGCTTAGGAATTCTAGGAGTTGAAGTCCATACATCCTAAATTTGCCATGGATGGGAAATATTGCTTTCTATGAAGCCAAGTGAAGGATCAGACTACACTTTTCCGCAAGCACATATTTAGTAAATTGATTAGAATATAGTATCTTAGAGAACAATTTATAAATATTTTAGATTTCAAGTTGAAACCTTGAAATTGAAAATTTAAATCTTATGTTCTGACTATAGTACTTCAGTGTACACTGCACCAATTTACTTCAGAAAGCTCAACTCAACCCTGACCCATTAATGCAATCTGACCTAATAAGCCTATAAACCTCTAGACTCCCCCAGTTTGGGACTTTCCTTTCATTATATACAGTATGAGCAGGAGTGTACTTTCCTTCAGTTTATATCCAAACATAAGAGAATGAGATCAGAAAATGACTATCTCAATACTGTATGTCATATGATTGGAATCCAGCAAATTACTTTCCTAAAAACCAGTCTGTTTCCAAGCCAGATTATGTGGTTTGGAATTCTGGTTTCTATTCAAATCATGGTTTGAAGAAAAATAATTTATATTTTGGTGCAACTGTGGTTATCAAAGAAGTGCAAGGTATTTAATAGGGGTGTTTTACAAAGCGGCTCTCTTCAAAGTGATAAAATGTCCACAGACAGGCTTTGTTCTTTGAAGACTATCCCCAATTACTTTCACAAACTGACTGTCAAACGAATCATGTAATTTGTTTTAATGAATTTATTGGTTTTATTCCTTTTATGGAATTTTGTAAATCACTGTTAACTCTTTATGGGGTTGGCAACATATACTTATCACAAATAAATAAATGTAGCATTGAAAATCATTTTACTTTGCAGGCATTCTCAGAAGTGTTGTTATGCACACCCATGCATGCAGAGAGACAACTGGGAAACCCTTTCTAGCAAGTGCACTGAGCCTCCTGGATGACATAGCTGCTTAAGTTATGTGAAGTGGTGTCTTGCTTGCGCTACTGTATTTAATGAAGTTCTCTTTCTAAAGGTTTTAGGAGTAGCTTACCACTAAGCAGTACAAAAATGCCTAATTTACCTATTCCCTTATACAGAGGAAGATGAGAACAGAAAGAAAACACAGTACATTAGGGTGGGGCTTGATATTTGTGAATAATGGCACAGCATGTTTTATTGTTGTACCTGGATGCAGCCAGGACGATTGTCCAATACGTGGTAAATTGTAATATGGGTGGTGACGGCTGTAGCTAATTAGGTGGGCCATCATCTATGATGATGGTGATGAGTTATCAAATCTGTATCATCTCTTAGCAACCCTGAAGACAGAGTGATCTGTTCCTAACCTGGATTATCAAGTCTTCCAATGGTGCACCCATCATCAATGTAATACACCTTGTTATTGGTTGTCCTCTTTCTCTCTCTTTCTTTCCACTTTCCCAACATTATAAATGTCTCAAGAGAGCTAAGATTTTGTATAATGTGTCCAAAACATGATTCATACTGTACCTCATCATTTGTCAGAATTTCAAGTTGA